AAAGGTTTTCAACTTAGATTAACGAATAATTTAGATACCATCAACTGTACTTTGCAAGGTAGAGGTGATCTTTAATAAAATGAAGCTTGTTTAGAGCTTGCATTTCATCTATTTTCCAAAATAAATGACCGAAACGTTGATAGATTGTGAGCGTTAAAAGCATTTTTTATTGATTAAGAATCCAGTAGCAAAATTCTAAACGATTTGGATTTGGAAGTCACAAAACTGGAAAATAAAGGAAAAACTTTTAGTTTTTTTTTCTATTCACTCGACTCCTCCTGCGTCGGTTGTTGATAAATCGAACATTTAATTAAAAACAAATAATCTCATATATTCTTATTGATAGAAAATAAGACCTAAAATTGTTTACAGAAAAGCCACTCATACAGGCTCATACGTTAATGGATTGTCATATGATTATTCCACCTAAAAATCGTCATCTATCAATGAACTCTCTGGTTTACCGTAAAATTCTCAACTCGACTCACTGAACTCGGAATTAAAACACGTAACATCTGCTCTTCTCTCTAATAATTTCCACATCATATTAAGATATTAAGCATTCCATCACACCAACCTCCAAAAAAAATGTCTTACATGCCAGTGTGGTTCCTCGTTTTAAACCAGTAGTTTACAACTTTCTATGCGTATGCGCCAAAGAAAACATTGGAAAACCAGGACCAAAAATATGAGCTACCCTAGAACAACAGCTAGGACTAGGATATATAAACTCATCAGCAGTTGATCAATACAATCATGAAACCGGTTATCGAATTAAATAATAGTATATTATGCAACAAGTGCGGTAAACGGCATTTGTCTCACGAGTTTATTTGACACGAGCAGAGCGAGTGTTTAATAAACGAGTGAGTTAAAAAGCTTACCGAACGTGTTATATACTACACTTTTTATACGACCGTTAGTTCTTGGGTACGTTTTAGTACAACACGAACACATTCGCTGACATGAGTGTCAGAATTGACAAAAGTCAAAATTCAAAGCGGGAAATATCTCCGAAAACATCTGATTGCTCCCAAACCCGTGCGGTAAAATTCCGTTAATGTCCGAAGTGGCTCGGATTCGTGGGAAACGAAACTGACGTGGTAAAGCGACGCTTCCCTCGCGCTAGATTGGTGCGTAATTAGATATTTTACAGACGGGAGTAGATTTTTTTTTTTAAACAACCAAGCAATCTTAACTGCGACTCAAGCTTTACCTGTCACGGATAAGAAAATCTCATCCAGGTCAATATTTGCCCTTTTTTACCCGCACTCCTATAAGAGAGTATATACACTAAACCTTTTCTTCTCATAGTAATTTATAAAATAATAATTGCTGTAGGACTACTAGTGATATTCGCCAGGGGGTCGATTCTTGAACTAGAGGAACTGCTTTCGCATGACGATTATTCTATTTCTATCACTTTAATGAGAAGTTAAATAATAGTAACAAAGACAAACGTGCGTTTCTAAGAGACCGTCGTTACCTAGCTTCAAGAATCAGTTCGCGGGGGTCTTTAGCGCTCGTAGTTTCCCATAGGCCTTATTTGTCCTTAAGACCTAGTAAATGATCCACGTTTAGCTAGACTTCTGTATATGTTGGAAAATAAACCGTTTTTCGTCCAGCCGTACATGAATATCTCCTATCTATCTCTATGTTCGGAAAGCACTCCATAATTTCAGAGAAAATGTGACCAAAAAAAAAAAAAAAAACAATAAATGTCGAACTGATCAACAAATTGAAAAATTTTTAATTTTTGATTTTTGATTTCGGGACATCCTGTGTTTGGATACCGTTGTTCAATTCATCTTTACTTACTTATTATTAAGCCATAAGATAAATAAATTAAATAAAGAGCAACAGAAACGAAACAATGGATGACTGCTGTCTCGAAAACTTCAATTACGCCCCTACAGAATCCTCCTTTCCTTTCAAATTATTTCTCTTTCCCAATATTAATAAGTTTTTATTATTGCGTGAGAATAAATTTTAAAACAATCTAAGACGATTACGGGCCCCCATTGTGGGGGTTGCCACATTTTCGCCTCCAATTTTAATTGCGAAGGAAACAGAACGAGAACGAAGACAATGAAAGCCGGAACGAGAAATGAAGAATTGGGCGGGTCGTGTGATAAATTGGCCACTGAGCGGTGTCCACGTTAATTCGATAAGCGCCCTTTTTTTACCAGACTAGCAAATTACGTAATTTAAATTGCTAAGTAATCTAATAATGCGCCTAGGACGACGTAATGTAGTCGCCATTCGCTGCGTTAAATCTGTTTTCCCGACCTAATTGCACGCTAATGTTCAACAAACGGCATTTTTCCACGTTTTCACAAATTTTAAAAATATGTTCTTTTAGCCGCTCGCCAAATGGGGTTAAATAAATCGCCACTCTGTTACTGTGTGTGGTGACCTCGATGCGCACATTGTAACGGGAAAAGAATATTCATATGCCAGTTGGTCTGTTTATTATGTTGCGAGTCTGTAATGCTCAATACTGGGTTTGGAACATGGATCGGATCACTACCACAATAATAATTTCGCATTGGTTCTATATAGGTGTTCATTTGAACGTATTCAATTCTAACAGAACACCTACTGAAAAAAGAAATAGATAAAATAAGCAAAGTAAAATAAAAGAAGATGTAAGCAAGTTCAAAAGAAATTTTATTTTAATTATAAAAGTATTTTAATAACTTATGTGCAGAAAATAATCCTTGCAAACCATGGTCAGCTGTCAGAAATTTTAACATTTATGAGCACTTTGCTAAATTTTTTCAGAACATTTCAAACTGTGACCAGAAATATTGTAGTCCTTTCATAGACAAATACATAATACATATTATAAAGTGCTGCTTGGAAAACAGTTACTTTCCTGATCCATGGAAAATTTCAATGGGAAAAACACTAGTAAAAATAAGTAATCCAAAACATCTCAATGATCTACGAATAATCAGTATTCTACCAGCAATTTAAAAAATATTTGAGAAAGTTTTGTATGCTCAAATGTACGATTATTCAACACATAATAACATCATTCCGACTATGTAGTGCGGCTTCAAGGCACATTTTAGTATTTAGGTTGCATTAACTAATGTTGTGAAGTGTATGTTTGGTCAGCATATTGGCACTTTTAGATTTTCCAAAGGCATTGGACAACATCCATCAACCTCTCAAACAGGTTTTAAAAAAGGTCTAATAATACATATTTCGATCAGGTTGCCTTGCTCTCTGCAGTCCCACAAGGCTCAATTTTAAGGTCATTGCTCTTTTTAGTTTACACTGCTGACATTTTGAACTCCATTCTGTGCAGTAGGGTACAGGCATTTGCCAATGACGCGCAGCTCTATGGTTGCTTCCACGCCGACGACTATGTTGAGGCGGACTCAAATATAAATCGCGATTTAGGTATTATAAGTGACCTTAGGGGTAGACTTGGTATTAAAGTTAATGACTCTAAATTAAAATTTGTAACTACTGCAAATAATAAAAGGGGATTATCGGAAACTCAATTTCGATTTAAGGCGTATTTAAAACCTAAAAAATCATAAATTTCTAATGTTATGAATTGCTCGAATGTGTAATGTCTAAAGGTAAACATGATAACGTCCGGTTTAGTAGAGTATTTTATTTATTATTTATTTATTTATTATATATTGCAATATACTCTTGTTGATGATTGGCATTTATTATTGTAATTATTATTATTATTATTATTGTTATTATTATTATTATTATTATTACCGCTGGCGTAAGCGGACCACAAGCTACTGAGTGCTCTCTCCACGTGTCTTCCTTAAAATCGTAGTTAAAGTTCAAATTAAATCTTCAAAAGTGTTTTACTAATAACATAAGTGTGGTGTGAACTACAGTACTTATTGGTGTCATTGAAATCATTCTTTATTACGCGTATAAACCGATCGGTTTATTTCCTTGGGATCACCCACCTTTTTTTGCCTTTCGGAGAGCGCGTGAAAAGGTTGTTTCCGCCCACGGTTCGTAGAAAACTTATTGTACAGTTCGGATCCGATTGTTTTCGGTTTTGTGCTAAATAACTTAAACTGACGTATAGCAATGGTGCAAAAAGCCTGTAAGCGCTGTGACGGTGTTGCTGGCACGGGTCTGAAGTGCATCGTCTGTGGTGTTCTAATGCACAAGTCTTGTGCCAAAATATGTAAATTCGTTAAAATTCTGCAGGATGATAAAATAGACTGTTGCACATATGACCCTCGCGTCGTCGACAAGACCGCTGGGCCCTCCACCGCCTCCACTGAATCCGCCACTGTGGACGCAGGGAATACCAGCGACCAGCCGTTGGCTGATCACATATCCAGTAACCATCTCACTGAAATACGGTATCTGAAAGAGCTGCTCAAACAAAAAGATGAAACAATACGTTACCAGTTAATGGTTATTAATTCCCTTCAAGATCAGATGGCTATGTTAAAGAGAGAGTCCGCATCCCATGTCTGCCCGGTTCTTCCCGTTGTTGTCGGCGGGGCACGTAATCCAGGCACTAAACTTGATGTGCCGGCTGACGGGTGGAGGAGAACTACAGCCCCACAACAAAGATTAACCGAATCGACTGTTGGTGGTGCTCTACACGAGGCTACAGTGCGGAATAAATGCAGCGAGATCATCGGCTTGACCTCCAGCGACAACCTTGTTCCTGGTTCCGGTCCTGCCAGTGATCTCCGTCCACCCCAAACAAAAGTGGAGAGACCACCTCGTCCCAAGCTCACTTCCAGACCTCAGCCGATAGTGGGCAGTCTTAAAGACCCTGCGTCCTGTAAGTTACAGGTAGCAACCAGAAGGACACATTTCCACATCTCCAAGATGCATCCGACGACTAGAGCCTGTGACATTGAAGAATATCTGAAGCCTATGGTTGCGGAGGTTCAAGTGGAGCAAATTCGATCCATGTTCCCTGAAAGTTATGCATCTTTCAAGTGCACGGTGTTGGACGCTGACTCAGAAGATTCTTAATCCTTCCATTTGGCCCACTGGAGTGCTCGTGAATCGTTTTTTCGGTCGGCGTGCTTCGGGGCAGCAACCCAAGTAATAAAGGTACTCTAAGTATTCTTAGCTTAAATATTCATGGTCTCTCTAGTAAAATTGACTTACTCAACGGTTATTTGCTGGATAAAAATGTAGATATTCTCTGTCTATCTGAACACTTTGTCTGTGATGAAGAACTTTTAAAATCAATATGTGTAAATAATTTTCTATTGAAAAGCTTTCGATGCCGTCAGACTGCGGTCAGAGGGGGCGTATCAATTTATAGCAAACACAAAGTCAACTGTAGAACTTTAGATTTAGATAAATACTCACTAGACATCCATGCCGAATTTTGCGGCATTGAATTAACCCACAAAAATACCGTAGTTATCAATGTATATAGATCGGGGAGCCACGGCGACCCTTATCTATTTATATCCAGGCTAGAACTTCTTTTAAATGACCTCTACTCTAAGAAGAGAAAACTTATTATTACAGGTGACTTTAATATCAAATTCAACCTGACTTCAAATGCTCTAACGATGGATTTTGTCAACTTACTTGCCACCTTTGGAATCTCCCCTAGTGTCGCTGACCATACCCGTATAACTGAAACTACGTCAAGTTGCATTGATAATTTCCTCGTCAATATATCCCCCACTCTGTTCACTGCGGGCAGTGAGGATCCAGCACTCTCTGATTATTCCGCTGTTTTTATGGAATTACACTTTGATGTTTCCTCTGTGCACGATGACCATATTCAATTCAGACCAATTACCCAGGCGGGTCTGAATAACCTCTGCACAAGTTTTGAGAGCACCGATTGGGAACCTTTTATTAATACTAACGCCGATCCGACCAACTCAACAAAAGAACTGCTTCATATCTTCACCGCCAATATCCAGAATCACTTTAAAGTCGTAAGGCGCAGTAATTCCTTCCGTCCCCCCGTGGTCTGGTTCAATCGTGACCTCAAACTTATGAGGGATCACGTGTTGCTTTTAAAAGCCAAGTGTCGAATATTTTCCCCACGCGACAGTTGGGCTGAGTATAGATTGGCTAATGCTAACTACAAAAGAATGATCAAAGAAACAAAATCCAAGGCATATGCCAATTTTATAACTAGAGCCAGCAACATGAGCAAAAGTTGTTGGACCTTGATTAACCATGAAACTAACCGAGCCTCAAAGGCTATACCCAACTCAATCACACCCAACGAATTTAACTCTTACTTCTCCAATGTAGTAAATGACCTAGTATCATCCATTGGGAAATCCAGTGACCCATATGTGTACCTTACGAAAACACCCTCTCCGTGTAAATCTTTCTTCTTAAGCCCGGTCTCTGAGAGTGAGATGTATGGCATTATTATGGGTCTAAACAACTCAAGTTCTACCGATTGCTTCGGCTTAAATTCAAAAATATTGAAACACACCATTGAGTACATCGTGGGTCCCCTGGCAGCCATAACGAACGCAGTGTTTTCGAGTGGCGTATTTCCTTCGGATCTAAAACTTTCAAAAATAATTCCCATTCACACAAAAGACGATCAACATACACCAAATAAATTTAGGCCCATTGCAATTACCCCTATATTCGGTAAAGTCATTGAGAAAGCCCTGAAGGCTCGCCTGTCACTGTTTTTTGAGGAAAATAAACTTCTGTGTGAATCGCAGTTTGGCTTTCGTGAGGGGAAATCCACGACCCATGCACTTATGCACTTTGTGAACAGTGTGGTGCGGGGTTTCGATGCTGGCGACGTATCAAAGGCACTTCTGTACGACCTTACGAAAGCGTTTGACTGCGTCGATCACGATGTGCTCTTAAACAAATTAAAATTTTATGGCGTCAGATGTATCCCTCTAAAGTTAATAAAATCGTATCTTAGTAACAGGTTTCAGTATGTTGAGTTTGGTGGAGTGTCGAGTGATGGTGCTCTTCCAGTGAGCTGCGGTGTCCCACAGGGCTCGGTTCTTGGGCCGTTGCTCTTCATCATTTATATAAATGATCTGCCATTGTCCGTGCCAGATGCGAATGTCACCTTGTTTGCTGACGACACTGCCATTCTGTTAACAGCTAAGCATCAACGAATGCTTAGTGAAGATGTCAGCGTAGCAACAAATGTTCTCCAGCAATGGTTTTCTGCAAATAACTTAGTCCTCAATAAACAAAAAACTCAAGAACTTACCTTCTCCTGCAGTAAAGTCGACTATCTGTATCAAAATAATATAACCCTCTTGGGATTCGTAATTGACAGGACTCTGTCATGGTCAGGCCAGATTCATGAGGTCTGTGCAACGTTGTCTCGGCGACTGTTCCTACTGAGACATCTCAGCCATTGTCTAACCCCGGCGGCCCTTAGGATAGCCTATTTTGGGCTTTTCCATAGTGTGCTGTCTTATGGCATTGTGCTTTGGGGTGGGGTTGGATATACGGAAAGAGCTTTTCGTTTGCAAAAGAAGGCTGTGCGGGTGCTCTGTGGTGCCAACCCGATTGCCCACTGCAGGCCCATTTTCTCTGACTTCCAGGTTATGACGCTGCCTTCTACTTATATATACCGATCTATCCTGTATATTCACGAAAACGCGGATGTCTATGGGACACTTGGCAATAGACATGAGTATAATACTAGGTATGTTGACATGATCACCCCACCTTACTCCAGACTGACGTCCTCACAAAACAATAAGATTAATGTTAAACTGTATAATGTTCTCCCAAATAATATAAAAAATCTACCATACAGACAATTTAAAAAGAGAATGAAAAGTTTTTTTACTGATAATCCTTTCTATGATATTAATGAATACTTGGAGTTGATCAAACATACTACACTTGAATAGACCACTGCGTTAGTGTGTTAGTTCTCAAAATTTGTACAACCTTTTATATTATATATATAAATTCTTTTGTATTGTTAACCTTTGACGTACCATTTGTTGTTTTTGTGACGTATCTGAATGGCCAATAAATTCTATTCTATTCTATTCTATTATTATTATTATTAATGACAAGAAACTCTTCCCATTCTACTCTGTAGTTGCTTATATATTTTTTGAAGGGGCCAATCTAAAAAAGATGCATGAAAATTGAATCAGATGACTAATTCCCATTTCGAAGACCTGACTGACTGAAGGTTTATTGAGAGTACTACCGTAGTTTGTGTAAATTTCTTTGAAAATTGAATAAGGTTTAACCCGATTTGTAAATCATTTATCTGAAAATCATTAAGAACTAAAAACAAGAAACTACTTAACTTTTAGAGTGAACATTACATATATCGACCCCGGTTTTAGCTGAAAAATTATCTAGTTTTTCCACAAAAAAACCCACATCTTTAAATAGGATGGTTCCAACCTCGTAAGCGATTCGGATTTGCAAATATTACAGTGGACCAGCTCGTTACTCATCTGAACTAAAAAAACATATTCTAGTGGACATGCCGGATAAGTAAGCACGAAAATATTGTAAGGAAATTCCCAAAAACCATATCCATTGTTGTTATACAGAAAATAACCCCTTTTCCGATCGCATCACCCCAAAAAAAAAATTAGGAGAGCTTCAAAATGATGTTTTATTCAACCACCTTGAAATTCCCATAAGTTCGTTATATTTATTTCGCAATCCCAAAAAAATCTGACGTTGTCCCACATATTGAATTAGACCATTAAAGAGTCACGTAGGAGAGCATCAAAATGATGTATTACTTAACTACCTCGAAATATATAAAACTTCCCCATAACTAAATATTCGTTTTATTCATTTCGCAATCTCAAAAAATTTGACGTTGCCCCAGATATTCAACTAGACCATTAAAGAGTCACTTAGGAGAACTTCAAAATTTATTTATTTATTACTCAACCTCCTTGAAATGGTCCGCAAGATATAAAACTACCCGAAAAGTTCGATTTATTTATTTCGCTATCGCAAAAAATCTCTCGTCCCAGATATTGAATTGGATAATTGAAGAGCCACTTAGGAGAGATTATTATTACTCATTACTCAACAACCTTGAATCCGCCGGGAAGATATAAAACTATTCTCAATTATGAGATGCCTTAGAATTCGTTTTCAAATAGTTGTTATATTTAAAATGTTATGTTGCACACCCTTAGCATGTTTTATTGTTATGGTTAATTTTAAGTTAATTTTAAAAAGGTGTATATGCCTGTCCCTTTTTCTTTTTGAAGTATTTGAAAAAAATTGTACAACCAGCAAAAGCAAAAAGGATACAAATTGTTTTTTTCTTTAAATGGAACATGGGACGAATATTAGCCTTTCCTATACTGGAAATATTTTATAATGAAACATAACATGCAATTCTTATTGATCTCATTGAGGGTAGTTTTATATCCTCCCAACGGTTTGTAGGTGTTTGAGTAATTGGGTATTTCATATTTGTAGGTAGTTTTATATATTCCCTACAGTTTCAAGATAGTTGAGCAATACATCGTTTTGAAGCTCTCCTAAGTGGCTTTTCAATGATGTGGTTGAATCTCTGGAACAACGTTAGATTTTTTCAAGATTGCGAAATAATAATCAAATTAATCTATTTTTTGGGTTAATGCGAAAGGAAAAGGGGTTATTTTCTGTATAGCAACATTGATATGGTTTTTGGGAGTTCCCTTACAATATTTACATGCTTAGTTTCTCTGTATTTCCACAAGAATACATTTTATTAATTAAGGTAAATAACGAACGGCTTCACTGTAATATTATTCGCAAATCCGAATCCAAATCCAAATCTAACTTCAGCCACGTCACCCAAACAGTTCGTGGAGATTAGATAACGTACGCAAAGTAGTGGTGGATCGTTGAGTTCACGGGAAGTTAAGAAAAGTCAGGCGCTGTACCACCATATGTATGATTTTGAAAACAATACATGCATATAAGAAAAGAAAATTCGTCCAACATTTCTAGGACGTAAACTGAAATAAACGTTGCATAAATGGCTCACCAACCTTATGGCTGGGACTATCCTCCTGCTGGGTTCCCCTTCACCTCCTCCACAGTCTGGCACTGCCAAGGATTGTACTCTACAAAACTTCCATCACACACTCGCACACGGCGGACCATCACAAATTTAGAGTTTCTATAGACAAGGTGTTATTAAGCGATCGTTTTCTGAATCTATTTTAAAAAGAAAACTTTAATAACTGTAAAACCATTTTACATATTTTGATAAAATTTAACACACATGTGTTATGTATCAAGAAGCATTATTTCATGTACCTCTTTTTTTTAAATACAACAGTGGGGATAGTACGGAATTCCGCCTGTTTATTTTGGTTTATTTTGGCAGACGTTGAGCCACTGATTTCTCTTTAAAAAAATATTCCTACAATCTCCGATCATTTCTAAAGAACTTTAATTGACAGCATGTAGAGAAATTAATTATTTATTTTTAAGTGAAGACCGTGCGACTGACTAAATAAAAATTTAAAACACAAATCTGCTTTTAAAAGGAAATCAGTGGCACGCCACTGACTGTCTATGACCAAATAATATTTTGGTTAATTAGGTCCCCAGTACACTGGTTAAATCGAGAACATTTTTAGATTTGTTGGACGAATTTTCTTTTGTTATTTTTATGTATTTTTTTAAAAACCATACATATGGTCGTACAGCCCCTTACTTTTCTTAGCTTTCCTTGAACCCCAACGACCCAAAGCGAATCCTGCGCTACATCAAATTTTTTAAATTTCATCGCAATTAAAATCGACCTGGTATAAGGTTGATTATTTAAAGAAGTTGAAGAAAATCTTGCAATTTACATATTTTTCCATTTTCATACATCTCACAACATTAACCTTTGGGTTCCCTCGGTTAGAAATCAATAAACGGTTATTTTATGCCACTTGCATTTTTATGCATTTAACTGAA